GTTGAGGAGGAGGAAAATTGTTTATTAGCCAAAGAGAAAAAGAAGAGAAAGTGAGTTTTAATCAGTCTGGCTCCCAGAGAGGAGCATATATGAGCCGCTGATGTCATCATCAAACGCTTCATATACGCTCCGTTTCTTAAAAGCTTCTTACATTTCAGCAGATTATGTTAGGTTTTAAGCCGAAAGGTGAACATAAGTCATGGGTCTGAATCAGAAGTAGGTTCCTGAACTACTATAGGCACGGCTGTGAGGGATATTTTATTTAGTTTGTGTTGATGTTTAAATGCAAGTCACATATACATATTTTTATTTAAGCTGTCTGGACTGATTTTAATCAAATGTAATCAAATGTGTGATTTTATGTTTAAGTGCTGTGATTAAGTTGCTATGATTTGAAAAGTAATTAGTAGTGTACACGCTGTTGTGAGTGATCCTGAAATATGGACGACCTCAGAACAGACTGTGCTTCCTCAGGGACAGTTTGGTTAAAAACACGCCTTCCACTAGACGACAGACAAACATAATGTCTTTTGTTAGATTGTAGGTTCATGTTCAAGGACAGAGTCCAGAGATAGGCTGTGCTCCTTTTGCCTAGTGGGATGTTCACCGGGAGGTGTGACTCGGTCCTGAACTGAGATGCTAAAACTTCCTGTCGTTTTGTTTCTCGAGGCCAAAACKCTGAGAATGCTTTCAGGCCTGTTTCGGTCCAGCTGAAGGTCGTGTAAAACTTTGAATGCTGCAATTAAATGTTCAAGTCTAATTTGTCTCCTGTGTGTAATTTGGGCTGCAATAAACAACACTTTCTTACATTTGGTCAATTAGTTCACAAATATCGTGACAAACATACCTACTTACCTGAAAAAAAAAAAAAGCACTGGCATCATTGATCATTTCATCTTTTTTTTTTCCTAATTAGAAATAAAAACTAAAATCTCAATAAGCTGAGTGATTCAGTTATTTGTCAGAAGTGGCTAAAAGCAAAATCAAAAACATGAGTTAAAAAAGAAAAAAATTGTGTAGGTCTTCTGGACGGGTTCTTCTCTAATGAAACGTTTCGTCTCTGAGTTTCAGGCAAAATTCAGGCTTTTAAGCCCTGCCTCCATGTTAC